GAAACCCGGCTTTGGTTTTAAAAATCTTGCAAATATTAGATAACCCCTAGAAAACAGTTTAGACGTCAGAATTTAGTCTATAATCCTTTTCCATAAGTAAACCACACATTTCAGCTCCATTTTAGTGGCTTAAACTATCAGAAACCCATGTATAAGTGGAGTCTGCCAGGCATAAAAAGATTTTCAATTATCGATAATACTTATAATTTGAAATATGCTCTTTGAAAGCTCGAATGCCTGGGCCAATTTTGGTTTTAGCTAGGCAAAGTTTTCCGCTCATTGAAAGATTTTGATTTTATCGGCTTAAACTATAAGAGACGAATGAAAGGCGGCGGTCGGTCAGGTTGGTTTGGCCCAGGAAAAACCCGAAATGTTTTCCCCCCGCCTCCCAGAGAGAGTCCACTAAGGCGCCAAAAAACTCGAACTTGCTGGTGTTTTGAGCTGACAGCCAAAGCTCGTGTCCTCTCAAAAATGTAACTAATGAGATTTTAAGTTTCTCCCGCTTTCCCATCGCCCCGGAACTTGTCACTTTTGTGTGGGCGTTTGTTGGGGACCAGAGTGTTTGGCCAAAGTGTTGGCGCTTGTGTTTACTTGTCGCCTGCAGGATGCGGATTTGGATAGCAGCCTGGCGGGGCGATCCTGGCTCTGGCCCAGGTGCCGGCCGGGCCTGCTGTTGTTGATGTTTTAGTTGGATTTTCGGGTGCCATAAGCCCCGAGCCCGCAGCACTCTGACCCCTAAGCCGGGCAGCTCTTTCGCACCCCTTGAAATCCGTAGCTCTGTATCTTTGTATCTCTGTATTTGTATCACTCGTATCCCTGTATCTCTGTTGATTTCACGCGCCCCAGGATACTGTCCTTGCAGCGAACGACTGCCTGCGACTTGTTACCAAAGTTTGTGGGACTTTTGGCCAAATGAAAATTTAATGTACCGTGTTTCGGGCGGGCCGGCCTATCCCCCAGCCAGGCTGGAGGAGAGGCGTGGCGCGTGTAATTTAATTTACACCAAACATTCAGCACGCCGCAGTGTCAGTGTCGCATTTTCAAATTAAATACATTGGGAAGTTTTGCAGTACAGCACCACCAATCTCAACCTTCTTCCCTGAAGCCTGTACACACACACACACTCTCAAACACTTACCTGTTTGACCTGGTTTCGCTTCCTCCGCACGGATGACGGCCCTTGGTCCTGGCTGAGTGCCGCCTTTGGCCATTTCTCACTGCCAGTTGGCATTTACATTGCTTGTTGTCGTTTATAATAAGCTTCCTCTGACCCCAAGGGCTCCTGCTCCTGGTGAGTCCCGAGTCCAGGGGGCGGGAGTTAATTGCATAAAGCTGTGTTGGCCATGTCGTCTGGCTGGAGTTCTGACAACCACTTTGGCTTTGGGTTATTGTTCGAGATGAGTTCCTGGCCCAGTTGAAACTTTTACGAAGTCGTTAAGTTTCGTTTGGAGACAAGAGGAAATCCCATAGTTCCTCAAGAATATAGTTCAAACACTGAACCCCTTTGGTTATTGCTTTCTGAAATTGATTTAAACAGTTCAGATATAATATAGGAACTATAACTTATATCGTTTATGAAAGGGAATTCAAATTTTCTATCGATTTCAATCATGAATTCAATGGAAAAGTTCAAGCTCACACACGTGAGAGGAAAACATTGCTACAAAGTGACACAAAGCAAACCGACAGATAACCGCAGGCACTTTTACCAGCTTTTCATGGTTTTTATGGCTCTTGAAACTAATTTTATGTTAAATGCAATTGAAAAAGCTTTTTAATTGCATTGGCATCCTTTATACTTTCAATTGCAGTTGCAGTTGCTGTTGCAGCTGTGCCTGTTGCTGTTGCTCTATGTGGCCATGGTAGCAATTTGTGCTTGAATTTGTTGCATTTTTAATTGGAACAGAGTTTCCACAGCTTGCCAACTATTTTCCCCACTCTTAGAGTGCCGCGTTCTCCTGTCTTTGCCAGTTGATGTTACTCTAATGCCCGCTGCATCCGCTTTCCTTATTGATGCTGATGAATGGTCAGCACCAGATGGCATTTGTCCCACCCTAGAAACTTGAAGCACTCGCCAGCTTTGGCGCTTTGAAAGAGGGTTTAAGTCATGTCCTGTTGCAGGATGTGCAGCAATTCAATTAAGTTCAGTCCCCGAAAGCATTGTGAATTGGGAATTTTATTTAATAATTTTTGAGTGCAATGTGCAGGGACTATTGAAAGTGCTCAAGAAATTAACACAAATAGTGATAATTAAATCTTTAATAAATAAAAGCTGATAAGATTAGAGCTAAATGAAGAATAAAAGTTATAAATTATGTTCTTATTGAAAAGAACTTTAGGTGAAAGCTATAAGAGATTCAGTAGATTTTGCTTTTGTTTAATTATTTATTCATATTTAAAGAACAGTAACTAAGGGAGCTCAGAGCTTATAATACTCCCCCTGAAGATTTTCTTTTAATCAATTTCGCTCAGTTATTTATTAAAATCTCTGACCAAAAATATGAGCTTTGCTTAAGCCAACTATTTTTCGCCTTAAGCCTTGCACAGCTTCCTTGGCCAGAGCTAAGGGAAAGCCTTTTTGAATCTCTCTCCAATATGTTTTGTTTTTGGCTTGGAATTTTTTATGCTTCTCGTTTTAATTATTTCACTTAAGCGCATTTCGAGGAGTTGCCAACACTCGAAAGTTTCCACAATATCTTTTAGCCTTTCGCTTGTTTTATTTCGTTTATTTTTGCCCCGTGGCCGAACTTACAGCAACAACTATTTCGAACTTACTATGAAGTGGCCGGCCAGGACTGGGGTGTACTGTGGTGTTTGGGAGCCAGAATTTAAGTCTGTGTAAGCTGGGGAATTTACTAAAGGCACCAAGGTATGCCACCTTGGACGAACGATGCAAGTTCCGTTTGGAGTAATAAGATTCACATTTAACCCGATATGATGAGATGGAGGTGCAGCCAGCTGGATGGTAGACACAGGAGCAGAGGGCAAACAGAAATAAAACTAAAGTAGAGTGCCAATAAAGCGAGCACAGTGGGGGCCATAAGTACGCGTATAAATTACATTTGAAATAGTAAGCGAAAATGCGATTGTTTCGCATTGTTTCGCTTTATCCAGCCACCATCGCCATACCAGCCTCCATCCACATCCGTTTCCGCAGCGCGCTTGTCGCATGGAAATCCCCTAAATACAATAAATTTCACATTTCATTTAATTCCATTTCATTTACAATGCGAAACCGAATCCGCAACAAGCAAACAAAGAAGCTTCAATTCAGTGGGTGCCCCATGATAAAGAAGCCGAACGACCAGAAGCCAACGTTGCTCTCGCTGTAGCTGGGTGGGTGAAAGCGGGGAAAAATAAGGAAAAATCCAGAAGAAGACGAGGAAAAGTAGTTGGTGGTGGTCCCTAGGTCGTGGGTCGCGGGTCTTGGAGCTCTTTGGTTTGGACAATAAGGGGAAAAAAGGTATGTACGCGTATACATGGCGGTGTGTATAATAAATAAATGTAACAATTGAACCGAATAAATGAAATCAGGACTCAGCAGGAGCAGTTCGCAGCCACTGAGGAAAACGCACTGCGAGTGTCAGGTGCATACGAGTGAACAAAGGGGGAAAACCTGCTGAATGGAAAATCAAATTAGGTACAGCTGTTGCGTTGCATAAGAAACTGGGACTTTGCAATGGTACAACACAGAGGGGTCCTTTTATCCAGTAATTACAGCAAAGATATTTTACAGAAAATAAACTTGCTTCCCCTTAAATTAAAAAAAAAAAACCTAGCAATTAATGAAAACACTGCTGACTGATGACGAAATTGGAATTAGAAAGCTAACTTTTGTTGTTTGCTGAGCTCAACATGTTCCAGGGAGCAGCAGCTGTCTGCCTGCACTCGGTGCGATAAAGTTTTTAGCTCTCCTTTCTGCCAGCTAGCTTTTCCATTCCCATCTTTTCAGTTTCCCAATGCACCGGTTTTATTTCGTCCTTTCCGGACGTGTCTTTAAACTTTTTATGCTCGGAAATGAAACTGCAAGGAACTTTAATCACTAAAATGTTGAAATTCTTTAAAGTTTATTCAGTTGACAATCTCGATGATGGGCTTTTGATCAACTGAAGTGCACTGTGTTAAAATTGGTATATTTTATAACATCCCTAAGAGTGTTAAGAGTGCTGTATATACTCTTAATATTAAATTCTAAAGATCATATTATTATAGGTTTTCAGGAAAAAAAATCCTGCAGTAAATCCAACCATTCTGTTGGTAAAAAAACAACAATCAAAATCTTGGGTTGAATAAACTGTAAGTTGCAGTATAACGACATAAGACATACGTCATATTACTGCTTTACAGTAAATCAAACCACATCATACTACGAAAATAGTGAAATACACTATTTCAACTGTAGAAACTGCACATATTGTTAAAAGATTTTTGTATTTAAATCTGTAATTGTAGAACTACAAATGGTTATCAAATCACTTAAATTAGTATATATTAGTATATATAAATCTTAGTAAATGGGCCACTGAGTCAAATCAAACACTTATGTCGGTATTGTGAATGCATACAATTCTAGGGAGAGTGCAAATAAGTGTATCTTTCTCTCTTTCTAAGCTAGAAATAGATTTTTTAGGTAAAACCTACCGACTTTTGACTGCAGCTGACAGTTACTACAGTTCGCAAAGCCAACAAGAAAAAACACCCATAATATTTTCAGAGAACTTGAAATAATTAAAGTCAAAGTTTGTCTTTTGGTTACATTTCATGTTTTATTTTTTAATTTTCGATTCTATAATAGGGATTATTTGAATTATGTTAGAGAAAATTTTCCTCTATACAATGTTTACAGTTCGAAAATATTTATAAATAAATATTTATATCGATCCTCTACAAATGATGTAGACTTTGGTATTTATTATATATGATAATAATTTTTAATGATTATTTATAGTAACGATGTAATTTTCAACCCATATTGATAAATTCTTTCATTATCCTTGCAGCGATACTTCGATATCAACGCGAGTGGATATGCTCACGCCTGCTATTGAAGTCTACAAGCCACCCCTCTGACACAAGGACGACACTGTGGAGAGCAATTTAGGGAATCCCTCGACGAGTAGCGACTTCTAGCAGAACCTGATACCCAGTCCTGCAGAACTAGCTAAGGATAATCTATTTGTTCTTCCAACATAGTGTCAACCCAATCGAAATTCGAACGGAGATAGCGCAGCGGAGATCGCAGCTCGGGAGTGAAGGTGGCCAAAGGACTCGAGCCACGACGCCCCGGCACTATCAGAGGCTATAGTCAGGCTATAGACTAGCAGAGCAGAACAGATGTGAATCGGATGAACGAGACACAAAACGAACACACACACACACACACAGATAAATTAATAATTGATCCAACTGAATAATTCCTAAGATTGATTAAATTTAGTTACTTTTTAGCGTAAATGATTTTTAAACCGAAACGACGAAGGCGGCGAAACCCACGCAGGTGGCAATGAAACATAAATGAAAACTAGTCCTAAGCTAATGGAAACGGCATATTATATGTATGTTTGTATCTCTGTGCGAATTATATATAGTATGCAAAAATTTGGCAATGTGTACATTTAGTTAAAACGGAGAAATCATAAAGGATATAAAACAAAGAGCAAAACGAGGCGAAAAACCAAACTAAAAACTAAAAACTGAAAACGGAAAATGCAATGAATAATTTTTGTACTGCTGAAAAAAATAAAAATAAACAAGGCAAAAAAAAAAAAAGCAAAAGAGAAATCAATGAGAAACCAGAAAACATTAAAGTTAAGTGTACAATTTTGCATTAGGTAATGAATAAGTTTGTAATGCATTAGTAATTAAATACAACCAAATGTTCAGCTAATCACGAGGAAGGCAAAAGCAACCGAGAACTACAAATGCAAAAAAGTGTCATAGTTACCATAAAACAGCAAACAAAAACAAAGCAAATGCAATTGGAAATTCAATTCAAATGGAAATTCGGCCAGCGGCAAAACATTTTACGCTTCGGTTAATCGCTCCACACAGATGTAGACGACACGCCACGCCTCATTTTATATAGAAACCGCCCACACCACATACGATCCGCCATCAAAACGCTTTTGGTTTCGTTTGTAGAGAAAACTAGGAGGAGGATGAGGAGAAGCTTCGTCTTAGACGAAGTCGGTATGCCCTTCACAAAGTGCCCCAAGATGAGAAGAATTGGTCAAATGTTATTTTCAATTTAAGTTTACTTTTGTTACAGGCAATTCTTGTTAATCTTTCTTTTGTGAATGCATTTTTTAAGGTGTAGAAAAAAGTTGAAATGTTTAAAAGTTAATTCAATAATGAACGTTTTGTGACTGTGATCATTTGAATGATATTTAGAGGAATACGATATTTGAGTATTGTTGTTGTTGACAACAACAAAATTATGAAAAGCAATTGAAACTTCTCAGTCTTGATTCAATCATCAATCAATCAATCAACCAGCAGCAGCACCCGTAGTGTAGTTAGTTCACATAATCATGAGTCATGACACCCCTTAGTGAATATTCTTAATATTATTTATACCCGAGGCTGATCGCACACTCACACACACACACACCTTCGTGCTTGACAATATTTGATTTCTAAAAAAAATACAATTGATAGCGGCAATGTGTCCATTCGATTGAAATTTTAAATCATTCCATCACCATCACCGGCACAAGTCACAGGATATGCTGCGCCCAATTTGTAACTAAACCGCTTGTTCTGTTCCACATTGAGACACAGAGGCTTTGGACGACGAGCAGGACGAGTCTAGGGGATATTGAATGTTAACATTTATTTGTATAAGCTGCAGAACATTGTTGGAATTAGAGGAACCCGCATAGTTTTTTGATATTCATGTAGATACATGTAAATGCCACTCACTAAACTTAAGTACAGAGGGATATAGCTACCGATGGCATCAAGGATAATTGCATTATATTTGTAATATCAAACTGTTCATAGTTAAGGCACGGCAAGCAACCAGAAAAACAAAAACATGAAACCGAATATAACAACTAACAAATAGACACATATAATACAAGAGTGTACATAAGCTGACTAGAGATCGAGATAAAAATAGAGAACAAATGAAGAAGCTACAACAAAGTGCATATAATTTTGATAGTTAAGCTAATTTTAATACATTTTTTAAGATACAGCAGAGAGGAGAGCAACCCGAGTACTACAATAAGCGAATCAAATAGGAAAATTGTGAGGAGATGCCGTGGAAATTACTCCATTTTTACACAAACCTCGCCAGCCCAGGCTCGTTAATTGGTTTTGTTGTTATACCGAGAGAAAAAAAAAGCCGTAAATAATGCAATAAACATTCGCGTAATTCTTACTATTATTGTTATTATTATCATTGTTGTTATATAAAGGAAAATATTTGAATTTGAGAATTGCACCAATGTTTTTTTATACACCACGCAAATTGGCTTTGTCAGTGCAAGGACGAAATTCGTTTTACAAATTCGATCAACTTGAAAGCATGTCCCCGCATTTAACAAGGACACCACACCACAACACACCACACACGCATTGAACAATGGACATTAATTTATACATATATAATGATGAGAGAAATAATGGAAAATAATAGAACTAGAACGCATATTGAATAATAAATGAGACATACATATTATTGAAGGAAATTAAAAAGAACATAACAAAACAAATGCACTCCCCTGGCCTTTTATTTGAAAAGTATTTGGGAAATTGACTGTAAGTATACTAGGATACACAGGCAAATGGCCACTATAACCTTTGCCATTTTCCATCAGAAATATTCGATGAAGTAAATTACACAAATCCCCAGCATTTTTTACCCAAACCACCAGAAGTTATCGCAAGCCATCGTCCGTCATTCCAGGCCGTTGAGTTTCCCCCAAAATGCAGAGTGATTTCAGTTTCACGGCGACTGGAACCATCTCGAGGTGCGATGCGGCGGACGTTTCAGTGGGTGGTTCAGTGAGTTGCTCGCTGGCTGTTTACGGGCTTGATTCAGTGGGTGGCTCGGTGGCAAAAGCCCCTCTTGTGTATCGACGCAGTCGCGAGCATTCCACCGCCGACAACAAAATGAAATGAAGTGAAATGAAATCAAAGGCATCCAGCGTTGATGGAGGCACCAGAAGCCAACGCATTGAGGCACACACATGCATAGTCGCGGCATGATAGAATTATACAAGGTAGTCCACTCGGCAAAATCATAGTCCCCTGATGTAAGTGCGAGTGAAATAGCATTTAATAGTTAGTGTGAGTGAAATGGCAACATAGTGCTTCGATTAACCCGTACACGGTGCATGGGGCTAAAAGTTTCCTTAGTTATGACAAGAGTTGTATTGTTTATAATTTTATATTTATAAGTTTTGAATTTGACATAATTCTTTGTTTTTGTTGTTTAACAGCCATTCTCTTGTTTAAGCTCTTAATTCCAAAGTATATGCGTATCTTAAAATAAATAATAAATAATAATACATATAATAAAATAATAAATATAAATTCGAGTTGATTTATTTTGTTTTTAAATGTCGATGATGGTTTCATCAGACCTCCATGCGAAACCTCATCTACGTATGTAAATGTAATTTTTTTCTTGGCCACTTAAGGGTTAAAGCTCTGAAAAAAAAAACCGTCCACACACATCCTTTCAGTTCGACAAGCAGGCCATGCACTGACATTAATGGACCAAAACCCGAACGACTTCGGCAGTCGAGTGGACTACCTTGTATAATTCTATCATGAGTCGCGGCACAGGGGAGTTGGGGACAAGGAATAAGAAGTACACTGAACGGAAATCTCTGAGAGCTGCTTTTTATAAATTAATTTAGTTTTTTAATTAGTTTTTTATAGAAAAATGTATGTTTTTTTAGAAAAGTTCTGCAAATTACATTTATCAGGGTAATTTTTAATGGACTTTCTAATTTTGCAATCAAATAAAAGATAATTCGGTTAAATTTGCCAGCTAAATTGCCACTAGTTTAAAGCTAGACACCGTTGGGAATTATAGTGCAAAGCTCAGAAAGTGCAGTGTGTAGCCAAATTTGAAAAAAGGACGTTGAACTACATACCAAAGTATCATTTACGCCTTTCTCCTGCACTACCGTTCTTCACCAAACGTTCAGGAGTTGAGAAATGTAATTTAAATGAAATTAAAATAATTAGACATTAAAAAGATATGCCTAAATAAATCCTGTGTGGCTTCTCTTCTTTATATTCTTCGAATCCAGGAAACGTTTCAATTAATTCAAGAATTCCCATTGAAATACGATGACTCCGAGTATCGCATAGCCTATTTCTCCGCCTGTAGCTTTTCTCCGCTTTGTTGGGGGAGCTCGTCCGTCCGCACATCCTTGCCACCAGATGATGTTTACACTTGAGCTGCAGCATTGGCAAACACAATCTACATGCCACAGGCCCCCCTGTCGCTATTCCGCCGATTTCCTCCGGTTTTTGTGCGTTTCGCTTGGGTGTACGGCGAAAAGAAATTGCGTGGTTTCTGCGGAGCTGGGAGCCGCCGCCACTGCCTTCGATCCAAGTTCTGTTTGCCATGGCACAAGCCAAAAACTGAGTTAGCCCGACTTTGCGGTCGCCCTCTGTGCGGGAATATACCTCGAGAGTGGATAAGTGTGGTTAGTGCCAAAAAGAGGGAGGGAAACGATGTCATAACCGTAAGCCCCAGTTGATCCTGCATCGATTAGTCGGGGGGAGTGCGCAGGAAGTGGGTCCGGGTCCTCTCCTACCGGATGCTCGTCCACAAAATCCTGCCGCAAAGTTGCGAGCACAAATCGAAACAAGGACGCAGGACCTCAGGCAAACGCAGCTCTCTCAACAGGTAAGAGATGGGCCAGTGATGTAAGGTTCTTGGTTGCTCATATCTGGGGAACTTGGAGTACCCTTTGTAGCCTAATACTAAGTCTAATAGTACTTCCCGGACGAAATACATCTTTATATATGTATATACCATATATGTTTTTATTTTTCTTTTTTTTTTTTTTTGTATATACATACATATGTACATATATAGCAACATTTTGTAAGCGATTTTCGTTTAAGTGTTTCTACTAAGCTTTATAATAAATAAAAAGTCGTCTACAACATCAAGAGAGTCCTTTGGTTTTTCCGAAAGCTTGTACCCTTATACCCATCACTGCCGATTTTCCAGCGATTGATGAGTTGATGAAGCTGTGCAGGGCAGATAAATGGTGGACTGAGGGCGGTGTCCAAATGAAACGCTCCACTTGGGGCAGCAATTAAGAGAACAACGAGCTTAACAAGCTGCCAGTGCGCCCTGGGCGCTTTTTGTTTCCGTATGTGTCTGTGCTGGCGAGGATTGAGTATTGAGGGATGAGGATTCAGGATTGAGCGCCAAGGACCGAGGAGTGCGGAGGTAGGCGGCACTTCAATCGAACACATTAATGTGTCACTTTTGTCGGCTCCCGGAGCAAGTTTCGGTGCGTCAGGAATGCCATAAATCAACACCCCGGCCATCGCCATGGAGAGCTATCGATTAGCCGTGCTAACCTTCGGTTTGGATTGGATTGGCTTGGCTTCGCCTGGGATCCGGCTGGATGGGAAGCGTGCCGCTGCAGCGGTGACTGCGGCCGCCCAGCCTGGACAGGTGCCTCGCTCCTCCCCGGTCCTTGGGCCTCAAAATTTATGAACTTGACTTTCGGTTAGCGAACAGCCAAAGCCACCACCTTGTCCTTCTCCTCCTCCTGCTGCTTACACTCGTCATCGGTTCCGGCCAGACACGAACGAGTATGAAAAGGGCTTGCATGACTGCAGGAAATTACCATAATTTCAATTTAAGAAATTAAACGAATTCCGCCGTTCTGGGCTGAAAAGAGAGCATCGTCGGAAGAGGAAGTTGCGAGGATTTTTAGCTTAAGATTTAGTTTATGAGTAATAAATCATAAATATGCTTAGCAGTGATCAAGTTGTTCATGATATACATTACACCGTAAATAATTATAAATTAATTAATTAAAAGATTAAGCAGAATAAATAAAGAGAATTCCGTTGAATTAAAAACTACTATTTTATATCTTTAAAAATTCTTATTTTGACCGTTGCTATCGATATTTCAACCATTGATATCCGACAGCAGGAGTTACGCTCCTTTTTGGCTAATCATGATGAAAGAAATCTTGGAAAAAATCTTGCATCATGATCAGAGATCAGTGATCAAGGAATGACCAATATAGATCTAAAATATATTTGAGTTTCCCAATTGAATTAATTTACGATAATATCGATTAATATCGTTTTTTCTTATTGAATTCGTGGCAACCCTATCAAAGCTGTCTGCTACCCTGGAAGTTTTAACCCATCCCTAGCCGGGTCACATGTTTTAATTGCTGCTCTTCCAGACAATAATAATCGCCATGAACCGCCTCAAGCGTAATCCCCTCCTGCAGGTGGCCAAGTGTGAGATGTGCCCCAACGTAGTGACCAACTTCGTGACCGGACTGTGTGGCCGCTGCTCCTTCATGTGGACCAACAAGCGAAACCTAATTCGTGCAACGCTCGGCCCCTATCAGTTGATGGCAGCAACCGTTAGTATGGTCCGTGGCATCCAAGATCGCCAGCCGATGCACCCAACCTTCAGCCAAGCCATCGAGACAATTAGAAGCCTCCGCAAACAGAAGGTCGAACTCTTCCAGAAGCTGCGCAGCCACTTTCTGGACAGCATTCTCATCGAGCAGTCCTACGACCAGCCGGTTACCACCATTGTGGAGGACGACTACTGGAATGTGCCGGAAATCTACGACAGTGATTATATAATGTTCCAGCACCAAATAGACCTCCTTGAAGGTGTCACCCGCACTTTGTCTGCCAACTCGGACCTTAACAACAATAAAGTTAAAGAAAAATAGGGACTCGGGAGTAAAAGAGATTAGGGATATATCCATAAAGAGACTTTAGACTTGTAAAATGTCAATGGAAATTGTAAAATGAATATAATATAAATTGTGTATCTGATATAATTCAGATTTTTAAAAAATGTTGTGCTAGTTATTTGTTATAACTTGTTTTAAAATTATGTTTAATTTCAAAAAGAAATCGTTAATGATTTTATTTTGCGGTGCTCGAATTCATTTCTATAGAATCCCCACGATTCCATTGTAAATTTCTGTAAATTATTGTGATACTTTTATTTTAATAGACAATTCGAAACCAAACATTAGCAATGTCAACCGATCATTATCTAGTTTTAATAGCCAATTGCTGGCCAGGTAATCTTGGAAAGGATTGAATCCGGTGTTCTGTAATTGTCACTTTTGGCCAATATCATAAATTACCCAAAAACCAGGCCGAGTCAAAACCAATTGAACAAATTTGATGGCCAGGTCATCATTACCGGGGCCAGGACAGGATAGCTATAGCTACAGCTGGCCGGCGGACATCGGCCATCAGAAATCAAGCTCTGACTGTCTCCGGGGGCTCATGGACATTTTGCTAATGAAAATGTTTATTCAAATTTACGTCAATGGATGTGTTTACACGAATGACCATCAATCTACATAAATAAGCGCAAGTACGGAGCCCGGGATGTGTGTGCGTGCGTGTGTCGGGCAGATTGTATTGTTCTTTGCCGAGCGAGAGGCATTGTTCAACAATTTGTTTAATGAGAAAACTAATAAATCAAATGCGCCATCAATTACAATCAAATTTATTTTGGAGCACCGCCGGCAATGGATCCACTTGGGCGGTGGATCGATGGATTGATTTCTTTCCAGATTGATTCGATTTATTCGGGCAAATCGGAAGAAGTTTTTTATGGAACACAGCTGAAATTTAAAGGTTTTAATTTACCTCAAATGAGTTAATAGTAGTTAGAATTTTTTATAAAATAAAATATAAGTTAATTTTAACTTAACTTATGTGATTTAAATTCCTAAAATAATCCTTTGCTTATGTATGTATATTTCACATTTTTCGTACATTTCAAGCTTTTACCTTTTCGAAGAGCTCTGTCTGCTTAGCGTCTCGCCAAAAGGACGTTGATCCTGTGTCGAACAGCGGTCAGTGGTCAAGAGGAAGTGTCTCGGCCTGGTAGAAAATGAAGGGAATTCCTCTTCGGCTGGATACTAAGTGGCAGGATGAGAGGCCAGGCGAAGGACATTAGTCAAGTGCAACAGCTCTCAAATAAACATAAATTGAGCATGCTGCGCCAGCCGGAAAATGGAGGATGGAAACTGGAGCAGAGAGCAGGGAACAGGCAGGACTTTGGACTTGGGACACAGTTGCCGCTCTCGCCGCCTGGTGTCGTAATTAAAGGCATTCGCGCAATAACGAAGAGAAATGCCCGCTGCCAACGAACAGAGGATGCGCTCCTCCTAATTTATTTGTTTTTCTCACTTGACTTTTATTTACACGTGCATTGGCATGTGAGTGGCGTGGAGCGGAACGGGGAACCGGAAGGAGAAGCTGGGATTGGGAAAAGCTATGGCTGCATCGTGCCTCCGTTTGTTACCTTTGTTTGTGAAAGTTCTCCGTGCGCCTTTCGGGGCCAGGGCAAAGTGCCAAATTGGCCTAATGGCGTTAATGCGAATACGAGTCGAGACTAAACCAGCGACAAGCCAGAGCCAGAGCCCCACATCAAAGGTCGTTTGCACAGCTTTACACATTGGTTTCGGTTTCAGTTTCAGGTTCAGTTTCGGCTGCAGATGCAGATGCAAACACGGATCAAGATGGAGAGACAGGGTGGTGCTGTTGCCAAGCCAATTTAATGGGTGAAACACCCACTGCACCCCAAAAGGCCCACTCACAATGCAAATCAAAGCACTTAAAAAGTTGAGCAATTTGGCAGGGAATGCTAATGGAAGTCGAGTGCATTCCTGGATTGTATTTCGGCTTTGCTTCATTAAAGCCTTTAGTTCCACAGTTCGTGTTTGTATACTGAAAATATGGCAAGGATAAAGCTTACTTTTCAACCAGAATACAGATTTTAAATATCAATTTCAAATATCTATGAAGAGTTGCGAAAAAATCGATTTTATCATCGATAGTATCGATTCTTTATTTCTAAGTGCTGCTCTTCATTTTAGTGGAAATATAGGCGACAACTCTGGCGAAAGATGGTATGCGGGCATACTAAAGTAAATACCACATCTTCAATTAAATTCTTAATCTTGTACCAACTGACAACGTGACACATTAAAAAAGAAGTAATCTCTCGCAATGGCTCCATTTAATAATTGTTCATGTTGCCAAATCAGGACTAGAAAAGTTATAAGACATCCTTATACTAGGAAGAATATCTACGTGTGTCCGGTAAAATAACTTTCTATACAAAAAAAAAACGCATTCTCATTCTCCAGTATTCAGGCTTGTTTCAAGACCAACAAATACCAAGAAAAAGGTAATCGAAGGAAAGTCCAACCGGAAGAAGACAACGCAAAGGAGAATGTTGAGAAGCAGACCAATGAGCCGGAGAAACCATTGGAAACTCAACAAAACGAAGAAAATAACGTCCAAAAAGACCTTGATAAGCCCCTGGAACATCAGGAAGCGGAAAATGAAGCCCCAAAGGAAGAGGAAGACAAACCTACGGAGAACGTTCAGGAGAAGATTTTGCAGAACGATGTGGGTGAGGAAATGCAGACTGGCTCGACAACAAATGACAATATCCCCTCAAAAATCACGCCTCCACTAATGGAAATCGTGGTAATGAATAACCGAAAATATATTGCTGTCAGTGAGACAGCCAATGCCGTGAAAGAATGAGTGAAAGTTAAGTAACCTTGTTGCTACCCTAGCGTATTTATGTATATTTTGAACAAGCTCTGGTAATCATAACTACACACTAACACACTTTCCATATGTAATATGAATAATTTATATTACAATTTAATTGATATTTAACCCCGTTTATATTATTTTTGCTTATTTTGGAATCAATGTTTATTTAATTAATGCATTTAGTTTACAGCAAGTTTTTCAGTTTACACAAAAAACATTTTGGTAGTGTGACCAACAAAGCTCAGAGGCTTAATACCAAGGCTTCCTTGGGCAGCCATATTTTCCCTGCCCAATCTGAGCTATCTCAGCCATGTTGACTTGAGAATTCCCAACTGGTTCTGCCTCCATTGTAGGCCGCCCTACAAGCCAATGATAAAAACGTTAAATGATAGATTTTTGCATCAAACGCTGCAATTTGACTTATAAATTCCTAAACGCTTCTAGTTCCTGCGCAATTTTCCGCACCTTTAATCAACCGAAATTTGGTTGGAAGCATGGGCGTATTAAGTTTTAAATTTTGTGTGGCTGTTACCACTTTTGTTGCACAGGATGTGCGTGATGTGGCGGTATTTGTTTACGTCCCATTTCCGCTTCCGCCACGCTCCGCTGGAACGCATTGCAGCTGCACTTTCGCCACCAATTTTGGTGGCCACTGCGTAACCCGATGCGACTCCAATTCCGCTACCACTCTGCTCGGGAGTTTCGTATGTGCGTGATTTTCCATCATTTCCAGAGGGCAGCGCGGCCTCCCCATAAAACTTGTAATGGAATTTCCATAATCATGTTTAAAGTTACCAAGGACCTGGAAAGTTTCGTTTTATTAGAATCGATTAAAAGGCAGAGTATACCGGGGTCGTTTCATCAATTTCCATAGCAATGAGTGTCACAAAAATTCGCATACATTTCAATTTAGGTTAGTGTGCTGACTTTGGATACCTTTTTTCGATCGGACTCGAATTGGAACTGAATCTGATTAAGTGAAAACAATAACCTCCAGGTTAATTAGATGAAAACAAATTGTTTTTCGTTCTTTCTGTGCCAAGCGAAAGTAGTATTATCAATCGACAGTCGCAAGAGAAGTTGAATCTGTATTTTCCAATTTGTTTGTGCTCGAATCTCAATCGCCTTTCATATTCCACCTGATAAAAATAAGACGCATGTGTAAGTAAATTACCTGAAGGCGGGGGAATACAAATGCCTTGTCAAAGGCCTACCCCATGCTTATTTCGCGTGCTGCAAATAAATTCAACCAGAGCGCCTTGGTTATGAAAGAAGGACGTAATGAATATAAGCACATAAATAAACCACGCGTCAATCCATCGATTAGCATATCAAGTTTCGACCCAAGACAACTTGTGTCCGACTGATTAGTCGCCGTTGTTGCGACACCAAGACCGCACACGAAGTCGCCATGTTGACCACAATTGTGGACTTCTTATATAGGGATCCGGCGGATCCGGTGCTTCTGCCACTTGTGGCCAGCCCCAGGCCCGTTCTGGGCATACTGGCCACCTATTTGCTCTTCGTAAAAGTATTGGGGCCCTGGCTCATGGCGAACCGAAAGCCCTTCGATCTGCGGGGTCTCATTAGGGTCTACAACGTCATCCAGATCCTGTTCAACATCGTCATGTTCATATTGGTAAGTGGAACTCAAGCGGAACACCTATGGCAGAGTTTAATGACAGTGACTTGATCGACAGGCAACCCACTTCATGTTGGGTCCAGGCAATTTCAACTTCCGGTGCATCACCAACCTGCCGCTGGACCACGAGTACAAGACCTTAGAACGCTGGATAACCTATGCGTACTTTGCCAACAAGCTCATTGATCTTATCGAGACAATCTTCTTCGTCCTGCGCAAAAAGGACAGCCAGATATCCTTCCTGCACGTCTTCCACCATGTCTACATGCTGTACATTTCCTTCGCTTACATCTACTACCACGGATACGGGGGCCACGGCTTCTTCATATGTTACTTCAACGTTATCGTGCACATCATAATGTACACCTACTACTACCAGTCCCAGACCGCCAGTGAATCCGAACGAAGAGATAGACTCTGGTGGAAGAAGTACATCACCATCGTCCAGCTGGTCCAGTTCGTAATAATACTTTCGCACAGCATCTACACGCTCAATCAGCCGGACTGCCCCACGGCAAGATTCTCGGCAAGTGCCGCCGGAGGTGTTTCCGTAATTTTCATCATCCTTTTCATCAACTTCTATACTCACGCCTACATTCTGTCCAAAAAGGACGAGCGAAAGGTGCAATGAATGGTGTGGTGGCGATGTGATATGTGTTCTGAACACTTCAAGTTTTGTTAAGAAATCTATAGAAATTAAATTGTTTAAGAGTTATTAAAATTACAGTGATGTTTATAAATTTGTTGTGTTCTTTCTGTGTCATTAAGAAATTAATTAAATTAAAGTAACATTTTTGCATAGTTTTTTACTGAAAATCAAGTGGCTTGAGATCCACAGCGATTCCTGTGGCATTCAATAAAGAAACAGCTTTCCATGCCACTAAAAAATCTACAAAAAAAAGGGTTTCTTAAAGTTGACGTCAGAGAGGAGGTAAAACAACAAATCACATGCGTCTTGTGACGTAAATGTCTGTCTGGCCTAAATTAAAAGGTTAATTTGGAACATCATAGTTTCCTGAAGAGCTTCAAAAATCGTTCGTAAGTGTCTCTTAATTGTAATTCGTTTATAAAAACTACAAAACGCATATTGTTTTCGTGACAACTTTTGCATGAATGTATATTTTTGGTGCTTACAAAAAAAGCTTGCGTAAATATGCTAAAAAGAACTAATCACACAGCCCAATTACCTAATTAACATTTAATTGGAAAGCACATTCCAACCTTGTGCGGCTTGGATTAGTTACCAAAGCACCGACGCCGTGATCGCGCAGATAATCGCAATGCTGTCCCAGATATGGGACTTCTTAAGGACACCTACGGAGGATGTGCACCTGCCCCTCCTGGGCAGTCACTGGCCTGTCCTGACCATTCTGGGCACCTACCTGCTCCTCGTGAAAGTGGTGGGTCCGAGGTTAATGCAGAACCGAAAAGCATTTGATCTTCGAGCTGTGATCAAGGTCTACAACCAAATGCAAATTGTGTACAATCTCCTCATGTTTGGCTTTGTAAGTGAACAATTTCTGTACTCACAAGTGAATATACAATAATCTGAATTAAAATGTAACAAACCACAGACCGTCCACTTCATGTTCGGACCAGGAAACTTCGATCTTAGATGCGTCCGGAACTTGCCCTTGGATCACGAGTACAAAAACTGGGAACGCTGGCTGAGCTACTCTTACTACTTGAACAAATTCATAGACATGCTGGAGACGTTTTTCTTCATCCTGCGAAAGAAGGATCGCCAGATATCCTTCCTGCACGTCTTCCACCACGTCTACATGGTGTATATACCCTTCTTTTATATGCACTATAAGGGCTATGGTGGCCACGGGCTCTTCGTAGTCTTCTGGAACATGGTTGTGCACAGTCTGATGTATATCTACTATTACCAGTCAGCCCTCAATCGAAATTCGAAGGCGGTTATCTGGTGGAAGAAGTACATGACCACCATCCAGCTAGTCCAGTTCTTAATCGTCCTGTTGCACTGCACCTACACGCTCTTTCAACCTGACTGTGAAATAGCCAAATTCTCCGCAGGGATGTCCGCAGTTTTTGCATTTATATTCCTTATATTATTTATCAACTTCTACATTCGCAACTATATTCTTCCAAAAAAGAAGAGTAAATGAGTTTGGAGAGATCTTGGCACAGCATTGCATGTTATCAATATCACCCCAAACGATGAAAGGAGATCAAGGTCAAGATGGCAACCAAATGTAGAAAAGGTAAAACAAACGAGATAATTAAAATTTAATTTAACTTAAAAATAATCAATAAATACAGTTGTTAAACAAAATCAAATATCGAATGTTCTTGAAGTTTTAAGGCTTTTCCTTAAAAACTAATCTTTATTAAAAAGGTGTTTTTGACTTGTACTTAACGCATAAATTTGCACGTGCATAGCTTGAATAATACATAGACTAATTTAAATCCCGTCGATACTTTCTTCAAATGCAGTCGTCGAGGTCAAGCGGCCTGAACCCGGAATGCATTGGGGCAATTGGAACACGGACTCGGAGTCCTGTGGGTAGCACGTGATTCGCTTGCTCCGTCTGAGCACATGCTAGGGCATTGCTAACCGCTTTTAATTAGAATATAAGACCCGGGCTAGGCCAGTCCGACGATTTATGGCACCGAAAGGGCCGCCCAGGCTGCATTTGCATGGGAATCGCATGCGGCGAATCCGAGTCCAAGTGGTGGTGGAGCCAGAGAGCGTGCTGAGTAATTGCCGTTTTAAATGACATTAAATGTGCATTGTGCAGTTCCCTTGGAGTCACACGACAATAACCCTTCGGTTCTCGATTTTTCGCTATTTTTGCCCATAACCTTTGCATGGAAAGACTTAAAAATAACCCATTTATATTAACAGCTAAAATAAGAAAAGGCCAGTCGAACTTGCCATGTCTTATGGAGAAATATAACTACCAACCTTTGTGAAATTTTGCTTTATTAAAATGATTTAAAATGTTAAATGAAATATGCTGATTTTTGAAACTAATAAATATCAACACAGAAAATCTCTCCGAATTGAAATTATTGCATGTTTTGCCTATGCTATGATCGATTTTAACTTCGACAAACTTTTTGGGTATAGAAATTTCAACTTCACACAGATCAAATCCAAAAACTTGATGGTTTAAGGATTACTTAACAGAGGCTCCGTATCCTTGAGCTCGTATTCCAGTGGTAGAGTAGTGATGAGGCACCTCAGAAAAGGCCTGCGAAAATCATTCGGATGATATCCTTCGGGCGCAACATACATTTAATTCCATTTCCATACTCTGCAGGATATTTTACGCCTTCGATATATCGAAGGACCTCCTATCTGCTATGAGGCATGGAGCCACCTTCAGAACGAAGAGGAGTTAGATGATCAAGATAGTTGCAGTGGGCCAGTGACTGGCCAAAATCCAAAATCCTAAGAATCTACCAGTGTAAGGATTGTCTTATCCAAGATCGCCATAGTTCCACTCGCTCGAAAGGTTTTAAAACCATTAAACAAAGTATTTTGGCTGCTGAATGATATATAGAAGAGACCTAATGGAATTGAATATTGAATATTTTTGAATATATAATTTAAATACGATTAAGCAGTAATTTAAACTAGAGGTGATTGCACTCTGAAGCCAACTTTTAACGATGACTTTGACTTTTATTTACAAAATTATACAACTGCTTAATTTTTATTTGGCCCTACCACAGGGTATAACCATTTTAGTATAGTTTTCATTCAAAAGAAAATCAATATATTAATTTGTTTAATAATTAAGCTTAATATTATTTTAGGACCACAGAAATTATTCAAGATTTATTTAATTTAAAAATTTGAGAAAGGAGCTGGACTTGGACTAGAATTAAGGAAAAATTTACATTGTAAGCCCTCCTAGATACCTATATGTATATGCTCTCGGAAGGCATTGCAGCGATCGGGACACGGTCACCGATCCTGTAGGTCGCCCGTGATTAGCTGGATTCGTCCTCAGGACGGCGGGCTAGGCCAGTCCGGCGATTTATGGCACCGGAAGGGCCACCCAACCGGAATTTGCATAAGAATCGCATGCGGTGAATCAGCGTCGAGGTGCCAGCTGAATAATTGCGGCCATGCAGTGATATTAAAGCGAAGCCACAGTCAAGTGCATTTGGGCCCTTACGTGTTTCTGGCTGGGACTGCGAATGGGTCTGGGTCTGGGTCTGGTCTGTGTCCTGGGTATGGGTCCGTGGCTGTTCCCATTTGGCTCCGCTGGTTTGGCCTGAGAGCGTGCTGAGTAATTGCCGTTTTAAATGACATTAAACGTGTATTGTGCAGTTCCTTTGGAATGGACTTATGCCATATTAAGATTTATAATAACAAAAGGGTCTACATATTTTTTAACTACGATAACTAATTCTCTTTATAAATTTTAAATCGTATTGACAACGTTCCGGATTTATGCCATAAAAAATAGGAAATGCGTCAATATAAAAACTTTAAAAATAAACGGTCTACGTAGCGGGAATTGACATAGGAATTATATGCAATGAATTAGAATTGCACAGGCAAACTGCATAATTGCAGCCTTGCAATGACATTCGTGGACAGTAAAGTACTGCACCTGGCTGGTGCTAGTAGATTTCTTACATAGTTGTGCGGAAATGACAATGCTTTTTACATTGTCCCAACCCTTTTATAATTAAAGTTTGTTTTGGTTGAAACCTTACATGTGGTGTTTCCCCCCAAGTCTGTGGCCATCCGATGCGTTCTCTGAGCCACTCTTAAACTACATTGAAAGGAAAGGCTTATACATAATATATTTTAAATAGATTTATCTTCCAGATAGAGAGAGATAAGTGATAGAGATTAGCTCTTTCACAGATTGGTGGACAGATTGATTTTGGGTAACATTTTTTTGTTCGAAGTGGACTTTTCTATGGAAATGTCCATATGTTCTTCAGAAGTTGCACACAGTCTAGGGAGATAACTCCCAAGACAAGATTTAGGAGAAGGAGTCAGGACATTGCTCACAAAGAGCCTAAAGACCAGTAAACACTCTCATCGTGACATTGTTAGGTCTAGCTCCTTGGTAGATGGTAAAAAGATTTAAGATTTAAGATTTGGGTATTCAAAAATTTCATTGTTAATAATATGTCTTATTGCATTTAATAGATATCTACACTCTGGACTCTAGACCTTCTTTTGGTTGTTCACTACGTACGTCCGGTAGTAAAATTTGCCAAACATAACAGTAAAGGACGCGGATAAAGCACCAATAACGTACGACACAAAACGGGGCGCTTGGCAGTCACTCTGGGCCAGCATTTGGATGCAGAACACCATCAGACCCCCAAACTGGATCAGCTGAGCTATGGTTATGTACTTCTTCCACCAGAGACTCGCCTGCACCGCCGGGCTGATGGACGACAGGAAGTAGTAGGTGTACATGATCGTGTGCACGATCACGTTCATGAGCATCATCGGAGCACTGGGGCCACCGGGACCGTTCAGGGTTGTGTAGAGGTACACGTAGAGGACCATGGAAATGTGGTGGAAAATATGCAGGAAGGACACCTGCCGATCCTTCTTACGAAGCACAAAGATCACGGTCTCGACCAGATCCACAAACTTGTTGATGGTATAAGCATTACTAATCAGACGCTCTACATCCTTGAGCTCGTGATCCAGTGGCATAGTAATGGGGCAGCTCAGCTTGTATGGCCTCCGCACAAAGAGGATGTAGGAGGTCTGCGAAAGTCATTCGAACGATGTACTGCAACCAGAGCTACTGCATTATATTCCTATACTCACGCTGACGACTATGCTGCCATTGTAAATTATCTGCAGGATATTGTACGTCTTGATAAATCCACGCAAATTGAAGGGCTTCCGATCTGCCATTAGCCATGGGCCCACCTTCAGCACGAACAGCAGATAGGTGGCCAGGATAATCGCAGTGGGCCACGGACTGGCCAAAAAAGCCAGCTGCTCGGGATCTACCGGTGTAAGCATGTTCGTATCCAAGATCCCAAATGGACGGGGTTCCGTTCGTGAGGAAGGTTTTTGTGGAATTGAATAGACTCAAATACTTGCCCCAATTGCATTGTGAAGTGAAATAAATAATTTATGATCGAGTATATCGAGTGTATGTATATGCTTAGCAGGTACCATTAGGCAGGCATTGAGACACTGTTTGCACTTTGAAGTCGACTCTGAATTTAATTAAGCCTTGGGCACGAGACCTAATGGAAAGAGCGACTTTGCAAACAGTCACAAATGATTTATTTTTGCAATTTCCACTGAAGTTTTTCGATTAAATCCAACTAGTCTCCTAGTTTCTTAACAAAGCTTTTAAAACAGTACTTTTTTGAAAATCGGAACGAATGCTCATATCATACCAAAACCTGCCATAACAACGATAGGAAAATTAATAGAAACAAGTAAGAAGCTACCATGAGTGGGCTTGAGGTTCTTCTCAACAACTGAGGGTAAAGATACACTACTGGCCGAAATAATAAGTACATGCGTATGTGGTTTGATTCAAGTCCTATAAAATTTGTTTAATAAACTTAAGAAAAAAACCCACTTTATTTTTAGTTTCCGTACTTATTCCAGATAATAAAAATAACTGCCTAAAGGATTTTACATTTCAAATTTAGAGACAGGGGTCAATTTTATCCAAAAAGCATGAAAATGGGCTGGCCGAAATAATAAGTACACCCATTCTTCTAAGTCTAGAACTCGGAACGTATTAGATATTTTTCACTTCTTTCTTCTTACAAGTAAACTTAGATTAGTATCCAATAGAACCACACTCGTTTTAGGTAACTTTCGCTATTATTTTTGGCATTCTAGCAGGAAGTCTGTGGCAAGTCAGTACTAGAAGCTGAGACCAGGTTTCTTCAGCAAATCTTCACAAATCGTCAACATTTTAAAATGTTTTGGTTACAATTCGACGTTTTAAGTTTCCCCACAATGTTTAGTTTAGGTTTATGATAGGAGACTGACTTGACCATCTCATAACAGTTACCTCTCTCTTGCCAAAAAGGACCTGTTTGGTCATCCAAGGCCATTTCCGGCGAAATTGACATTTAAATTTGAGCTCGAACAGTTTGTCGTAGACTGCATGAGACAGGATTACAAGGACGTATACCCCAAAAGGTTCTATTACTTCAAGGAAAATTTTTTCAGATGAAGCAAAAGCTTTGCAACATTTTTTTGGTATGGTCTGAACCGGAGGTGGAAACAAAATACTTTGGGGCAATGAAACAAAAATATTTCTTTTTGAAAACGATTCTAGACGGTTTGTACGTCAAACCAAAGTCAAAAAATTGAGCTTTGAAACGCGAAAAAAAAAGTTAAGCCCGGAGACAGATGCATAAAGGTCAGGGGCTGTTTTTCCTGGCATGGCGTTGTGCAAATACATCTCATAAATGGTATTACGACCGTATTCGAAAATAAAACTTTTTTAACTGGCATCTTCTAACCATATGCTTAGGGAAACATGCCCTTCCGATAGATTTTCCAACGAGATAACGATCCAAAGTAAACCTTAAAAGTCATCATGGCCTGGTTTAGGGACAAAAAAGTAACCGTCATGGGTTGGAAAAGTCAGTTTCCGAACTCATACCTAATCAAAAATTTATGGGGAAACTTAAAACGTCGTATTGTAACCAATACATTTAAAAATTTTGAAGATTTGTGAAGATTTGCTGAAGAAACATGGTCTGAGTTTCTAGTAGTGACTTGCAACAAACTTCTTGCTAGAATGCCAAAAATAATAGCGAAAGTTACCTAAAACGAGTGTGGTTTTATTGGATACTAATCTAAGTTAACTAATAAGAAAACAGAAGTGCAAAATATCTAATACGTTCCGAGTTCTAGGCTTAGAAGAATGGGTGTACTTATTATTTTGGCCAACTCATTTTCAGGCTTTTTGGATAAAATTGACCCCTGTCTCTAAATTTGAAATGTAAAATCCTTTAGGCAGTTATTTTTATTATCTAGAATAAGTACGGAAACTAAAAATAAAGTGGGTTTTTTCCTTAAGTTTATTAAACAAATTTTATAGGACTTGAAACAAACCACATACGCATGTACTTATTATTTCGGCCAGTAGTGTAGATGGGATTTTCATTATGGAGGAGGCAGTGAGCTTAATGAAATTTGCATAATATATAAAACTCTAGGGATGACAGAAAATCGGAATATAACGATAATGTATTGATAACAAAAAGGCTGATATATTCACGTTGCGATAAAAAATAGATTTTATCACTTTTAAAGTTAAATATGAAAATGTCATCATATAAATAAACATTCTGAAATTATTCGTTAATACCGATAATTATATTAAAATCTTTTTTTAGCCACCAAAATCTATCCCTAGAACAAATGTGGAACTTATTGTTTCATTAAAAGAATCAAAAATATCCAGGTTATAAATACGCAACACACTCCTTATACGAGTTATGCAATTGCATTACATATTTATAATTTGCATGGAACTAAGTCACTTCTCAGTGCTTTTCTATTGTTCACTACCCCTTAAATAGCTATTCAAAGCTATTCCATGGCCTACACCTACATTCCCTAGCTTGAGGTAAGTTATTGAAACAGCGCCGGCTTTCGCTGCGGCGGTTTTAATTGTTTCTAAAAATTCTAAATGTGGCTACAATGTTTTGCTTACTGCACCTTCATCTGGGACTTTTTCCTGCCGGGAAGTATGTAAGCCTTGACGTAAAAGTTGGTGAAGAGCGTGATGAAGGCCGCACCCACTAGCGTGCCCATGTAGATCACCGTTCGCGACGCATTGCAGTTGGGCTGCCTCAAATGGTTGATCAAGAATGACACACCGAGACAGAACTGGACCAACTGGACGATGGTGATGTACTTCTTCCACCAGAGACTGGCCTGCACCTCGGGGCTGACCGAGGATAGGTAGTAATAGGTGTACATGATGACGTGCACCGCAACGTTAAGAAGGCACACAGGGAACAGGAGGCCTCCATAGCCACTAAAAATGAGATACAAGTATCCGCCAACACACATGATAGTGTGGTGGAAGACGTGCAGGAAGGATATCTGTCGATCCTTCTTCCGCATCACAAAAAAAACCGTCTCGACCAGGTCCATGTACTTGTTGAAGTAGTACGAGTAGGATATCAGGCGTTCCCAGTTCTTGTATTCGTGATCCAGTGGCAGTGTATGGACGCAACTCATGTCGTATGCTTTCAAAACAAACAAAAAGTACACGGCCTGAAAAAAAGTATGCAGTTTATTTAAGGATATTTATGAATACAATATATATATTAAATAAATAAGCTTAATAAATAAATTACAAATAGCTAATCGAGTCCTTTCGATTGTTATTCATTATTTATTTATTGTTTACTTACACTTAGTAATACCACACTGTTGTACACGATCTGAACAATGTTGTAAACCTTTATTACGCCTCGCAGATCGAAGGGCTTCCGATTCTCCATGATTTTCCTTCCTAACTTTAGCACAAAGAAAAGGTAAGCACCAAGGATCATCATCGGAGACCAGGGACTCCCCACGAGTGGAAACTGGACAGGATCGCCCGATATGGTCAGCGTGCTATTATCGACTTCATACATGGTGATATGCTCCTCCGTTCACTTTGCTTTTTAATAGGCGACTAAGCGAAGTCCGGCCTTTTTAATCCGCACAACAACTTTTCGATTGAATTACAAATTCAAGTAGTTGATGGCAGCATAAAGAATGCCTACCATTTACATAAATTGTACAAATTATAAAAAAAATGCCCAGGTTGCTTAAAGCAATGCTCTGATGGAAAAAATATACAAATGGAGACCTTGACAGTACATTTCTGGCTGTTTATACCCTTTAATTAAATGTAAAATGGCATAGGTCTGGGACTGCACAGCTCTTATTTATTATTATTATTTTGTACATACACTTTCCACTGACATAGCCAAGAGAATTAAATACCTTTGTCACCCCTGTTTGTCGGAATCGTTTTATGTAGTATGTAGTATGTACTTCGCGCCTGTTGAAACTCCAATTAAACAACTCTCGACAGGGCGGGCTGTGGAATAAATCTTGCTAGCGGATATATCTGGCAGCCGGAATATTCGATTTTCGCCTACCTTCCTTCGCTGTCGTGTTCCACTGACTTTTGTTTTTATTTTCTGCTTGTCCCATTGTACGTGCCATGCAGCAAAAAACACACACAAAAACAAAAAACAAAAAAAAAATGGCCATTTGTCGATGCGAAATTGCAAGAAATTTTACTTATAAGCCAAGTCATTTTCCACTAACTATCCGTGGGCCACGGAATTACTCCTTATTAAGGGTTGTGGCAACGGTAAAAGTAATGACGGTGTCTGTTGGGACCCAGAGTTGAGGGGGAGGAAGATCGGGCTGCGGTGGTAAGATGTCGGCCATTGCAAATTGAGTCATTTTTCATTCGGCGCTGGATTACATCGAAGGCCAGGCGAGGGCGAGTGCAGTAAGGCCTCAATGTGTCACAATTCCATGGCCATAATTGGGTCAAAGAATTTGTGTCCTTTATGTGCGACTCTTGGCCACTGAATAAGAAGGATTGTGCCGGTTTTTCCCGCAGCTCCTTGTTTTTTATTGGATTATATGGAGACAGGTGCACTAACATTATCCAGCCAAACAAAAACAAAAAGGCTAAGGACATAAAACCAAACAATTTATAATGCCCAGCTAACCTTTTCTGTTGTCTTTCCATTTGAGGTTGTGCACTGAAACAATTTGGAGGTATTCTGAAATTTATTTTCTATATTTGAGTTATTTCCTTTTTTGTTTTTATTAACATTTGATGCTTGGAATCGATTGGAATATTTTTAAGGCAGTGTTAAGTTAATTTTTAAAAGTCCAAGTCCAGGATTTTTTAAATTTAAATTGGTTTCTTATTTGGTGTAGTTAAATATTTATATTATTTATTAATATACTTAATATAAGTAGAGATGAAGAGAGCTTTACAAAAATGTTTAACACAGCAGAGCACTCTAGAATATGTATAAAATGCTTCCTTTCCATTGACCTTCTATCCCTCAGCGCTCTCATCCATGCTATTCACATATTCGGCCACAATCTCCGCGTCCAGCCTCACAAAATGATTGTTGCGCTTCAGCAGCACCACCTCAAAGTTCTTGTTTTCCGGCTGGCACACCAGGAGCAAAGCATCAATGGCCAACTTAATAGCCCTGTGGCGGTTAGGCACAAAATCGGTGGTAAATACTGTCTCCAGATATGCCTGGACCGTTTCCTCGGATCGACCAATAGCCCAAGCCTTATATTCATAATAATTACCATAAGGATCGGTTTGATACAATCGAGGCTTAAGATTCGGATCAAAGCCGCCCACCAGGCAGGACACGCCAAAGGGACGGCAATCGGGAGCCTGGGTATGCTTCAACTGCAAGTCGGCAATGTATTCAGTGACTTGCTTTACGCTCAGGGAACCTCCATGAAGAGTCCTTAGCTTCTTGCACTCGGAACGGGCTCGGGCGAGCAGGACACGGCCATCGGGCGCCATTCCAGCATAGGTCATCATCACATTTTCGTCCACTGGAAAGATCCGCGGTAGGGAACGCTCCATCTGCATCGGAAGAGGAACCTTTTGCTCCAGGGCCATTACCACACAGTTGAAACAGCGGATTCCCACTACCGTCGATCCTTTTTTGACGCTATTTACGGCGTATTCCACTTGGGGAAGACGGCCTTCCGGGGAGAACAAGGTAACTGCCTGGTTGCATTTTGGACGCATTTTTAATCTAGTTTTTTTTTAAAGAAAAAATAATAAATAGTGAAAATTCAGACAGCAAGAAAATTAGATTTGACGTTTACAGCAGAGATGAAATGAAAACTCAAATTGAATATTTCATATACGATTTGTTTCAGTGTGGCCCTGGGCATGTGTGTGACTTTGTAAAGTTTTCATGCCTGCCAAATTTTGTTAGCCAAATTGTGAGGTATAAAAATTGCGTCTCATTATGGTAAAGTTAATATTTCATGGGCAATTTACCGAGATTGAAACCGACACACTTCAAAAACTGCGAACATAAACACTCGCACACCCGCAAGCACACACGCACATACGCGTAAGCTGCTATATAATTACGGTTGCCGATTTCCATTGGCACGGGCAGGACCTTCCATTCCATTCCGTGCCGTTCGTCCTTTCTTCATACAATTTTAAACTCAATTAAAAGTTGTGCGCATTAGACATACTTGTGGCCAAAAGAGCGAGACACGGCCTCTCCTCCCCCCTTTGCCACCTACGAAATGTGATTAAGTAGGAGAAGGGGGGGCCAAAATGGGGGCAAACTCAAATGACAGTCGTATTAGTTGTCATTAAAAATGTGAGTGATACCATCTAAATGACTCCGACACATATTGCTACGAGCAGAAAATAGAGGCGGGCTGCAGCTCTGCACTCCTGGAACGACGACAGGTGAATCCAATTGGAGTCAACAGCCCATTGACACACATTGATACGCTCCTTGGCTCCTTGGCAGCACAAAAGGGATGGAGTAAGCCAAGGCAGCAAGTGCATTTCGCTATTTCCTATTGAATTCTCGATGTGAAAACACATTTGTAGTGGGTCTTCGCCTGAATAGTTTTGTAATTAAGCAATTGGGTTTTATTTGATTTCTTTTTTGTCAATTTAATATAGATGGTTAGTTTACAAAGAACTTAAATTTCCTAGAAGCGGTTTTTTATTAGACTGTGATCATCATCCTATTATGAATTAATTTATTTAAAATATTTTTATAATTTTGAAAAAGGAAATTAACGACTTTTACAAAATATCCCCGTAATTCCCCCAAAGTCCCCCAAATAAAAATACACCCAAAAATACACAAAAATAAAAAATATATTACAAAAAATATTTAAAATTCAGAAAACAATCTCAACAATCCTTTTTTATTTTAAAAATTATCAAATCTTTATATGAGCATTTTCAAAGATTTTTTTAGTATCCTTTCTAACGTTTATCTTTGTTCTTTTAAACTTTTTTATGGCTTGAAATATAATTGAATTTTAAACAAAATCTTGAATTAATAATAATAATCCTAAATCAAGACCCAACTATGATTATGCCAATGTTTACGATTGTAGACTAAGATTTGTAAAAGTTTTGATTTTTGCAGTTTCTTCAAAATTCTCGGGAAATTTTATAATTTAATTTGTATCGTTTCGTTGACCACAGAAAAACCGGGCCGGCAGACCATTTACTCAGTTTTCCTGGCGAAGTGTGGACTGTGAATGGCCGCGGCCACATGAATAATGAAAGCAAATCGGAAAGAGGCAAAACAGCAAAAAGTTAAATGCCTCTAATGACAGAAAATGAAGCAAATGACGAAAAATGGCACAAAACAAAGGAGACAAATAATAACATGGCCAAAATGGCCGCCTCGAACCGGTCGGCCAGCCGCCCCCTAGAAGCTACCGCACATCCTTGAATCCTTGAGCATGGAGAGCACGCACAGGCGAAGATAGGAGAGGGCAGTGAATTACCAACAGCGGGCGAATCAAGAAAAGCATGTGCGCGGCATAATTACGAAGCAATTAGACGAAATTATTATTGAGGTCAGTGGCGAGCGACGGTCGCGGGGAGTATCGCCAGAGCAGGCCCCCGAGAACATATGGCCATAGCCCCCATTCATTCCCCTGTCTTTCCCTCTTCCTGCTTCCTCGGGGGTGCCGTGCCAAAGGGATGCGTACGCCATTATCATTTCACGCCGGAGCGAGGACGAAGGCGCAGCGTAATGCCCACTAAATAGCAAGCACAAAGCGCACACCACAACAATACTCGAAGAAAACAGGGAATATAAATTTAAGGACAACTAGGAGACGACTTAATGGAACTTAAGAGTGTTTTTAGAAATCGAAGTTACCCTAATGAAAAGATAAGAAAAAAATTGGTGGTATATGTAATTAAAAGGAATTTATTTACTATCCCTTTTTTAATATATTAAATTGTTAACATTTTTTTTAAATTAAATAAAAGAAAGAAGATAACTATCTAAAAAAGGCTTTTTAAAAGTCTCAAATTTGTCAGTTTTAATTTATTAATTGCTATAATTTTATTCATCCAACTTATTTTCCCTCGGTATATTTTTTATTAGAGCAAATAATATTTTCCCACCTTTCCCCAAGCTGGGATCCCCCGAAAATCTGTCATCAACAACCATGCTGGCCGTGGGTTACTTGTTTGGACAGCTGCCACTGGGAAATGGAATCCAGCTAGCCATGAAATGGCGTGAAGAGTTTCAATTAGGAAAGAACTGAAGGTAAGAGTTCGGCGCGTGGCTTTGCACTTGATTTGAAAGTTTATTACGGAAGCACCGCCAAAATCCAGTGCGATGCTCGATGCTTCTCCACAGTCGATACTCAGGTGGATCGCGTGTGCGAAGTTCAATGCTGGCCATTGAATAAAGCAGTCAAAACATGTCGCAAAATGACAATGACAAACAGGTGAACAACGTAACAACCGTATACTTTTCCCCAGCGTTGCACCATAGGGGAAAACAAGACGGAAAAAGAGGGCGTGGATCGACCTTAATTGTCGCTTGGCAGCAGCAAAAGACCTTGCATGCATGTTGACGGGTGGCAGGCGCTCTCAAGCAGTTTAGTTTGTTGGACACAGCAAGTTCGTAGGTCACTGTCATGTGTTTTTCATGTTTTCAAACGAAAAAACGCTGTTCAGTAACCATAAAAATAAACCATTAAGCTATTGAACACATTCAAAATTCACGTCACTCAAATAAATAGGTACTGCATATGAAGCCTTTTGTATTATTCAATTTTCTTTCAATAAATAAATTCAAATTTAAACAAATCGATTTTGGTTACCCGCCAAACTGAGTTGCCAGATCTTGGCTGCATCGAAATTGATCTTAGTGCTGCCATATGATTAAAATTGTTTATACGGGCATGACACTGGCGCATTAATTAGAGACTTCATTCAAGATTTGACAGCGCTATAGCGTTTTACACAAGTGCGAGCCAGACGACTATATGGCGCTCTAATGCATTAGAATAATGCATTAATGCATTGCCGCGATAATCGATAGTCTACATAAAATATACCAGATACTCGATAACAAAATACGAGTTTAATGAAGAAAATTGTAATTGAAAAATGTATTAGCCAGCTCATTGACAGTATGGTCTCACAATGAGAATTTTATTTTTATATCATTTCGCTGGTTTTTTGAACTGAAAAAATATTGGAAAATTAGGAAAAATAATATGTTTTGCGGTGGCAAGCTTCTTGCGCTGCAAAATTAATTAAACATTTTTTTTGTAATAATTAAAAACATTGGAAGCATCATAGGTTAAAAACACAAATTTAAAGGATTCTGCATTTATTTATGCAAGAATATTTCGACGAGGAATTCAGAAATTCATAGTAATACGCCGCGAATGGCGGCTGTTTTTTTTTTTTTACCTTTTACGGTCGGTAAGACCGTAGTCATATTACCAAAATAATCCAAGCCAAATTACACAAAATTACACATATAGTGGTCTCTTTCAAGGTTCTAATGAAGTAGCTAATTAATGAAAACTGCATTAGTGTATCATATGAGCATTACGCGCAGAAAATCGCTGCCAATGGTTTTTCGAAAGATTTCAGCAGAATTTGATTTAAACATGTAAATAGTTTAAATATACTATAAACTAGATAAGGTAACACTAAGAAATATCGTATGTAACTATCGATAGGAAATAAGCACTCGAAATATTGTTATCGACCATATACGATCAACAGGAACTAATAAAACTAGCGCGAGTAAGAGAGGACGTGAAATGAAGAAACTTAATAAACTAAAGAAATAAAGAGTTTAAAAAAAAAAACAATTTTTAGCCTAAAAGCATTGATTGATTCTTGATTCGGCGGAAAAAGTTATAAAATTAAACCGCTATAGAAAATTTCTTTTCCAGATTTAATACCAAAAATATACTAAAGTTAAGATGATAATACTTGTTGGCCACACTATATTTTAACTAGGTGGCAATATCTCATCAGGTCGGATTGAAAATATTTTCGACGCGGAATTTTATTAATTGTGACTAATTTAAGTGCAATATATTTTCGTTCGAGCTTGCATATTCGCATCGTGAAAAGTGTTAAAGCGCCGGGAAAATAGCAAAAAGAAAGCGGTCTCTGCTACGAAGCAAATGGGAAGACAAGAGACAAGAGAACAATGAGCGAGACGGCAGAGAGAGTGTGTAGTAGTGTGTAGCTCCTCTAACACAAAAAAAAAAACAAAACAACGGAGAGACAAAGGATAGAAACCCCGAAAAAGTCGCACACACACGCACACACTTGTAATTGGAAGCAGCAGCAGCAGCAGCACAGCAGACAGATCAACTAAAACAAATGGAGTTTGATTAATTATAATCGAAGGATAAAGGCCTCCCCTTGTCGCGGTGAACGCAGGTTTCTGCCAAATAGTGAAGGGAACGCAAAGACGTCGCCAAATCGTGCTCCCAGCGTGTGTGTGTGTGTGGTAGTGTAGTGGCCGTGTGTATGCCAGTGTGAGTGCGTGTGCATATGGGGTTGGAAAACCGTGAAAACTCGACGACGTCTCAAGCGCTCAACACTTTGGCCGACTAACTCTCGCGGAGATCGCAGGTAAAGACAATGCCGAGTGCCTCGTTCACCTCGTCGCGCACCTACGTGCGCCGCTCCCGCCGGAAAGGAGCCAACCGCATCGCCATGCCCAACCGGCCCACGGGCAACATCATGGATCCCATGCTGCAGCAGAACGTAGCCGCCGCCGGACCCCAGGCCAGCACCTCCGGTGCCAGCAGCAGTAGCAGCAATAACGGTGGTAGCGGCGGCGGCAATACCAACAGCAGTAACGCCTCCGCCACCAACACAGCTGGAGCAGCT